AAGTGGTCGCCCGGGTGGAAGCCGCCCTCGCCTCTCTTCCAGATGCTCCAGAGCGAATTCCAGACCATGGTCCTCTGCCCGAGCGACTGCGGCATGACCAGGGACGGGTCCTCCAACCACTCCTTCGGGATCGCCACGGAGGAGCTTCTGTTCGTCATGTCCGACGGACGGGACTCCCTGAAACAATTCTTCGCCAGATCGAGCACGCAGTTGCGGCACTGCAGAATATCTGGGTTCGCGTCGAACACGGGATCCAGCTTGAAGAATATGGCGCACTGGTCCATCAACGCCTTCACGGTGCCCTTGCCCTCCACCGCCGCGACGAGCTTGTCCAGGAACGCCGTGCGGATGTGCTCCTCACCGTCGGCGGTCGGCGGGAAGCATTGCCGCTGCCTCGCGAGCTTCCGAACATCCCTCGCGGCCTTCAAGAACCCCGTCTGCATGAACTCCATGACGCGGTTCGAGCCGTCTTTCTGCGTCCAGCCCTGCTCGCCCCACGTGTACCATGCGCCGTGGCTGATGTGGTACAGGAGGCTGCGCTCCTCAGACTGGAAAATGAGGTACACGCATTCCGCCTGGAGAAGCATGCTGTTGTCCACGCTCAAATCAAGGTCCACCAGATATTTGAGAATGACCTCGTTCTTGTTGGCCATGCCGACGTGCTTCCCGAGGTGCTTGTCGAGGTGCTCCGTCAGGCTATGCGCGGGCGGCTTTTCCTTTGGCTTCTCGAACGCGCCTGCCATGTCGTCGTCGGGGAGAGGGGGCGACGCGCTCGGGCCGGCGGCAGACGCCTCGCCCTCGCCAGCCTGGCTGCCGGCGGCAAACGCCTCGCGCTCCTCCTCCCCCTCCGCGGCGGCCGCGCCGTCGCCGGGCCGGGTGCCGGCGGCGGACGCCTTGCACTCCTCCTCCGCGGCCGCCGCGCCGTCGCCGGCCTGGCGGGGGCGATCTTCCCCCACCCCTGGCGGGAGAATCCTGCTCAGCTCCTGCGTCAGCTGCAGGGGGGGGGCGCTTCCCGCCCCCCCCGCCTCGTTGCCCACCGGGGCAAGCTCGTCCTCGGCGCCGGGCCCGCCGCCAGCGCGCAGACCTGCGCACACGGGAAAACGCCAGCCACCATCGATGAACAGGAGCTGCCCGCCGATCTCGTCCACCTTGCGCGCCAGGGTTGCTATCCTTATGAATATCCGCTCGTAGCCTCTCCACACGCAGGCCAGCTCGCTCTCGGGCGGGACAACCACGGGGCGGCAATGAAGACGGATGTGGAAGAAGTACAGCCCAGGGCGGAGCGCATGACGCCCGTCTTGCGCGACCTCCAAGCCCGCGAATCCCAAGGAAAAGTTGAAATGGGCGGCGACGTCGGCGTACAGACGCGTCGCGCCGCGGCGCACGGGACGCTGCTGGCAGTACTCGATGGCGCCGCGGAAATCGCCCGTCACAACGGCGTACGATTGCACAATGCAGTTGCCGCTCTGGGTAAGCACATCGACGCCGCGCAAAATTGGAGGCGATTCCGTCGTCCAAGCGCCAAGTCGGCCCACCGCCGCAAGCGCCGCAGCGTCCACCGGGGTTGCGGCCAGTGCTCGCGATGTGGCATGGCGCCACTGCTGCACACTCTTCTCCCAATCCCGCTTGCTGACGTGCGGCAGGGCGGGGTCCGGGGTCGCGGGCCTGTCCTCCTCGTCCAGCTCCCCGGTGCTGCACCTCAGTTGCATTTCCACGTACTCCAACGACTGCTTGACCGCGGACACCGTCCTCATCCTCTTCTCTTCCTGCGAGAGCTCGTCATCCACGAGCCGCGGCGCGCCGCCCGCGGGCCCCCGCGAGCCGCCTGCCGCGAGAGGGCGACCCACCGCCGCCAGGAAACGCTTCGCTCGGGCATCAAAGTCGGGCTTCCAACAGCCTTCCTCCCAGAGCAGCCACGCCAGCAACACTGCCCTCCTGCTGGCCACCTGCTCCAGGATGCCCTTCTCCCGCAGGAACTGGTCGTGAGTCATGCGTCTGGACAGATGATACAGTTCCACCTGCGCCGCGGTGAACGCGCACTGAGCGTGCGGGAGTTCGAGGTGGTCGAAGCTCGCCCTGAGGTGGAAGGAGGGCAGCAGCTTGTCTGAACCGCCCTGACCCCGTCGACCACGATGGCGATCGCAGCCGTCCTCCGCGTGCATCTGCGCCACCGCGGCCTCTGCCTCGAACCTCTCCTTCGGCGGCGGCGTTTCGAAGCTCGGCGCGGTAGTCCTCCCGCTGGCGGGGAACTCCTCGGGGAAATCCCTCCTCCTCCGGGCTTCTGCGTCCATGACGAGATCGCGGCCCCCGTTGCGCTCGAGCCGCTCCTGCAAGACGCGCTGGTACTCGAGCGTCGAGGCGTGATCCATCTCGCCGAGCGGCGTGCCGCTGCCTCCGACTGACTGCCAGGGGGCGCCGCTCCACTCGACAGGGACGCTCTCGCAGAGGATGTCTGGCATAGTCCTGAGCAGGTAGATCAGGCGCCACGCAATTGCCCCGTAGCGCTTCTCCAGGGCCTCAGCCTGCTGGACGATCTCCTCCAGGGTGAAGATGCCCATCCGGCAGCGCACGAAGAGGTCGCCCTGTTCCTGTGGAGAGGGGAGATGCGGGGTGGAGGAAGAGGGGCGGGAGTCAAGTCATTTCCAGTGCTCTGGGGCGGTCCTCGACGAACTTCGCATGGAATCGCTCGGGCTCTCCGTCCTCGCACCCCCCCGCGGACAAGCCCTCGAGAGCCAACTCGGTCATCCCCCTGTTCAGCTCGTCGATGATCTCTGCCGCGGCGTGCTCGGGCGACGCCCCCTTGCCTCCCGCGGGCGCGCCACAGGGCGCCAACGCCGCCGAGCCCTGGTCCGGCTCCTCGGCAGATTCCGCCGAGTCCTCTCTCGGCTCCTCGACGAACTCCCCCAACTCCTGCTTGGGCGTCGCGCCCGCGCAGCCGGGGGGCGCGCCCCCGGGCGCCGACTCCGCCGACAAGTCATGGTTCAGCCCCTCAGCGAACTCCGCCAAGTCCTGGTCGGGCGCCGCGCCCCTGCCTCCGATGGGCGCGTCCCCGAATGTCGACGCGGCCACCTCCTCCCCGTTCGACTCCAAGACGGACTGGACAGGGGAGGCCTGCTCGAGCGTCGCATCCGCGCCTCCGGAGGACGCGTCGCCGCGCGCCGAATCGGTCATCCCCTCGTTCGGCGCGACGCCGTCGACGCCGGCGCCGCGCCGCCCCGCCCCCGCGCCGCCTGGGCGGGCGCGCGCATGGCGGCGACGGTGAGTCGCTGGGGCGACCGGGGTCAACGTCGTGCGTGGAACGGCGAACTCCGCGAGGACATCGTCGAAAGCCTCGATGTCAACGAGGCCGCTCCCGCTGCGGTCGCGAGCAGCCGACACCTGTCGGCGACTCTTCGCCAGCCGCGCCGCGGGCTTGGGCCTCGATGGGCCAGGCGTCGGCCCCGCCGCGCCCGCGCGGGAGGCGCCCTCCTGGAAGTACTTGCGCCACCACGCCTTCAGCGACGCAGGCGCCGCCGGCAGCAAGCCCCCCGCGAACTTCACCTTCGTGCCAGCGGGGTTCGCCTGGTAGCCGTGAGCCGGCCGGCCGAGGATGTTCGCGTTGACGTACTTGAGCTCGCGCACGAGGCGGTTGTACGCGCGCGGGGACATGGGCAACTGCATCTGCGCGCCCGCGGCGCGGTCTGCCTCCATGGCGCCAGCGATGCCGAGTGAGCGAGGCGGGACGGCGGAAATCCAGCCGCCGAACGTCGCCTTCAGAATCTCGAACCTAAATGAGCGGAGGAACCCTCAGACACCAAAGCGAACATGCCATTCCAACTGGGCCGCGCAGCAGGGCGAGCTGTCTCCTGGACTCCAGAGGAACAGGTGCGACCACGACGAGTGACGCCCACAGGAAACACGTGCTTTCCCCCGTGCGAACTCGCCCAAATCATCAAAAAACCATAAGAAAACCATATTCTCGTTGTATCGCGGCGCCAAGCGCGGAACGAAACGCACCCAAGAGAAGTCTTGGAAATCGTGAATTCATTAAATCACATGGGTTTTTCGACATCCAAGCGAGTTCGCACGGGAAATCATTTGGGTTTCCACCAGTTGTGCTCGCGCATCTCTGCATGGAGCGGAACAACGGGGTGGACGGTGGCGGACGCAGGCGAGCGACGCATGCTAGCCGCGGCACGTCCAGCCCGCGCGGCGTGGAACTCACCCACCCGAAAGGAGAACGTATCAACTGGCCCCGATGGAAAACGCTGTCAAATATTCCCCCCAAAGAAAACAATGTCAACTACTCCCACAAGAAAACAGTGAGGCGAATTCCCGAATTCCCAGGAATTCGGCAAGTTGAGCCTCAGGATTTTTTGAGTTCCCAGGAATTCGGGAATTCGGGAATTCGGGAATTCGCCCCAATTCCAGAATTCCCGAATTCCTTGGAATTCGGGAAGTTGAACCTCAGGATTTTTTGAGTTCCCAGGAATTCGGGAATTCGGGAATTCGGGAATTCGCCCGAATTCCCGAATTCGCAGGAATTCGGCAAGTTGAGCATCAGGATTTTTGAATTCCCAGGAATTCGGGAATTCGGGAATTCGGGCGAATTCCCGAATTCCGATTCCCGAATTCCCGAAGTCCTGGAATTCAAAAATCCTGAGGCTCAACTTGCCGAATTCCTGGGAATTCGGGAATTCGGGAATTCGGGCGAATTCCCGAATTCCCGAATTCCCGAATTCCTGGGAACTCAAAAAATCCTGAAGCTCAACTTGCCGAATTCCCAGGAATTCGGGAATTCGGGCGAATTCCCGGGAAGTCAAGGGATTTTTCAGACCCGAGCCGGAACTACTCCCAAAAGAAGTCAATGTCAACTACTCCCAAAAGAAGACAGTCTAACTACTCCCAATCGAGGACAGTGTCAACCAGTCCCAAACGAACGCGGTGTCAACTACTCCCAAAAGAAGACAAGGTCAACTGCCCCCAGCTGAAGACATTGTCAACTACACCCAAAGGGGCACCGCGTCAACTACGCAGCAACGCGAGTTCTGATCAGGACACCAGGGGAACCGGCGTGACAACTAAAGATCAAAGCGCAAAAACACATGCCTTTCACGGTCAGGGGCAGGAGCGGGGGGGCAGGCAGCCAGGGCGTTCGCAACAAGGGAAGCGGCGCAGTCGCTCCCCCTCGATGCGTCGACCGACGCGCGGGGCGCGTCCACTGCGCAGGGAGACGCGCGGGCAGGGCAGCCCGCGACGGCGCGAACTCGCCTGCCCGCCACAACGGGCCATGCAGGCGGGCGCCTGCACGCGCGCGAGGCCCGCCCTCACTGGTCCAGGCGGGGGCGCTTGAATCCAAAGATGGTGCTCACCCTGGCGGGCGACCACGCGCGATCCCCATTCTAACCCTGCAGGTCAGCGGTATCCAAGACGCAGGCTGGGGTTCAGACTCTGGGGGGGGGGGGCGCATGTAGTCCGGAGGACAACCCCCCGCCCCCCACCCCTGGCGAGAGTGTCCGGCGCCGCCCCCCCCCCGGCGTCGGTTCAACCTGCAGGGGCAGGGTTCGCACGCCGGCGCGAACCTGACGTTCTGGCGCTTCGCCGCATCGTCGATGCCAGCCCAGGCCACGGGCGTGTACGGCGGCCAGCCCATCGCGACGCGGAGCTCGCTCTTCACCTGGGGGGGGCGCCGCCCCGACGCGAGTGCCCGCACCTCCACCCCGCCCACGGGGCAAGGGGCACGTGACGGGCCCGGGACCCTGTTCCGAGGCACAGAGGCTATCACTCGCAACGTGCCCAGAGGAGCGGGAGGGGGAACATGCCTACGCCTACGGCCAACGACAGATCCCCGATCGCCATCTGCACAGTCGACGACTCCGAGGTGCGGAGCACGTGATTGCGAACATCGCCGTCGCGATCGCAGGTGACGTGGAGGTGAATCGCGCCCGCGTCGCGCTCGAAGCCCGCGGCATCGATCTCGATCGTGGCAGGCGCGACACGGCGCGTGAAAACCTCGGCATCCGCTGTCAGTGAGCTCGCAGCGTTGCGGCGGGCCGACCCGCTCGCCTTCCACCCCCACATTCCCCTCCACCCCCCTCCACGCGGCAGATGCGGGGAGACGGACAGCAGGCGGCAGCCATCGATGATCTTCGGGTCGAGCAAGACCCCATCGCGACGAGCCGTCCGATCGCCTCACGGCCACGCTCGATCGCTGTGAGGCCACGGCAGGCAGCCCGCGCCAGCGCTCGACTGACCGAGCGAACAGACCATCTGGGACCGATCGACAGATCGCCCAGACATCGCGATCGATCGGGTCCGCGCGCAGCGCGGCGCCCACGGCCGGGATCCATTCGTCGGCTTCCACACGAGGCCGTGGTCCGCGATGAAGGGCGCCACGCACGGCGTCAGGTGGTACTTGTAGAGGCCGTCGTGCATGCTGCCCAGGTACATCGTGCCCTCGCCGGCCCAGACGCGGTAAGCCAGCCGCATCGGCAGCAGCTTCCAGTCCACGTGCTGGTTCGGGTCCTGCTCGTCCACCTGGAACTCGGCGTACTCGAAGAGGTCGTCGTTCAGCGCCGCCATGCGCCGCGGGCCAGGGGCTGCGGGCGAGGGGAGGGAGCTCGACGGTCCGAATTGCCGGGGCGCACAATTGAGCCCGAGCAGCTACCGGACGGCGCCTCAACGCTCCCAGTGTCCCCCCGCGGTCTCTGGCAGCTCCTGGCGAACCCCCAGAAGCCTCCATCGTGCTCTCCAGTGATCCGGGGTGGCTCGCAGCGGCATCCAGCGGCCGACCGCGAACCCAAAGTCCAAGACATCGCGTCGGTCGCGCAGCAATGCGAGCTCTCTGGAGGGACCCAGGGGACGAGGCGCCACGACGAAGGATCAACACACAAAAAACACATGCATTTCCCCGTGCGAACTCGCTGGATTCATCAAAAACCAATAGGAAAACGTACATTCACAGTGAACGCGGCGACCCACGTCAAACGAAAACCACACCGAGTGCAGCCACTGAACAGATAAACGGTCCAAATCACTAAGGTTTTTTGACTTCCAAGCGAGTTCGCACGGGGAAAGCGCACGCGTTTTCAACACTCGCGCGCGCAAAACTGCGGGCGGGGCGAGATGTCCGACGTCGGGCGGCGACGGCGATGCAGCGGCGGTCGGCCATGCGGGCGCGGCGGGCGCGCCTGCGGCCCCGACGTCGCCGCCGAGCATCGTCGTCGCGATGAAGATCGCCGCCGCCGCCGGCCCTGCGCGCGAGGGCGGCTCGGCAGGCGCTCAGGTCAGGCAAGGGTTATCGAAGCAGGCGCTATGGGCCAGAGGGGAAGGCAGCGGCGTCGCTCGAGGGGGGTCGAGCAAGGCGAAGGGGGCGGGGGGCGGCGATGGGGAATCTGGCATGAGAGGGGAAGAACGCAACGATGCCTGGATGAGGGAGGAGGCAGGCGAGGGGAAGGAGCAGGCGTTCGCAACACAGAAAGTGGCGCAGTCGCTCCCCCTCGATGCGTCGACCGACGCGCTGGGCGCAAGGGTGATCAGGCCAGGCAAGGGTTATCGAAGCAGGCGCTATGGGCCGGAGGGGGAGACAGCGGCGTCGCTCGAAGGGGCCCGAGCAAGGCGAAGAGGGCGGGGGACGGCGATGGGGAATCTGGCATGAGAGGGGAAGAACGCAGCGATGCCTGGATGTGGGAGGAGGCAGGCGAGGGGAAGGAGCAGGCGTTCGCAACACAGAAAGTGGCGCAATCGCTCCCCCTCGATGCGTCGACCGACGCGCGGGGCGCAAGGGTGATCAGGCCAGGCAAAGGTGGTCGGGGCAGGCGCTATGGGCCGGGGGGGGGGCGCAGCAACGTCACTCGAGGAGGCCCGAGCAAGGCGAAAAGGGCGAGGGGCGGCGATGGCGGGCGTGGGGAAGGACGAAAGGAAGCCTGAATGAGGAAGGAGGAGGCAGACCGTGGATAGGGAACGGGCGTTCGACAGGAACGCAGCGGTGCAATGTATACATATACAAGTGGCGCTGCCCACGCAGCGCCGCCAGCGCGGCGATTCGCCGCGACGGTCGGCTCGGCCGGCCCCACCTCAGCGCGGCTGCGCGAGCTGGTCCTGCGGGGGGGGGGGGTCAACGCGCGATCCCCCCGCGTTAACTGGGGCGACCGCACCGCTCACCAGGAGGGGCGCCGCGAGAAACATTCAGCGGACCAAATGGTTCTCGGAGGCGCCACTCCCCGGCCGACGCAGAGGAGAAAAGCCCGCCCTGCTCGCGGCGATGCCGTCTGTTCAACCGCAAGGGGATTGCGTCGTTGCCTGCCCCCCCTCGCAATCCTCGACAAGCGCCAGGATGTGCTTCCTGAGGTCCGCGTCGAGGCGCTGCTGGCCAGCGGCGTCGAGCTTGTGCCACTGCGTGCGGCCGCAGAGAAGCGCGAGCTCGCGCGGCAAGTCCAGCGCCGGGCGCAGCGTCGCGAAGCGCTTCTCCGGGAGCTTGGCGCGGTCGCCGGCCACCTGCGCAGAGAGGGGGGAAGGGGGGGCGGCGGCGCGGCAGTGGCCGGGCGGCCGGGTCAACGGACACTCGCTGCGGATAGGTTCGCCATCGCTTTCATCGCAGGAACAATTCGACAATCGACGGGGGAAGGGCGTTCGGATCGGCGTCGATCGCCCCGGTCGACTCGACCCCCGCATTCGGTTATCTCATCTACAGACAAAGAATTCCCCCCCCCCCCCCCCCCCCCACAGTATCGATTGGAACAGTCAGACCTCTGACAACTTCTTGACGGCGAAGTCTTGGACACGCCA